AAGAAGAACTAATGGTCCTCACACTGAGCTGCCAAAAACTGTGCATTCATGGGCATGTAAGTCTCAAACCTGCATTAGAAGGGCTTTTTCAGCTCTTCCTAATTCCTATTGACATTACATGGAGGACAGAAACCGCCAAAATTAAAAAATAAATGCAAATTTGACTCAGTAGAAATTCGACTAAACCACTTCAATTAGTTTTTTGGCATTCTCCTGACTTAGATATTTAATCAGCTGTTTGTGATGTGAGTGAGTCTGGTTAATGAATAAATCTATAGAGGGGAGTTCATGAAATGCAAATACATGCTGATTATGAAGATGATCTATTTCAGTGCTTTTCAAGTGCAGCACAGTTTTGCCTCCTGGGAGAAATGATTACATCATTTAAACGACACATTCACATATCTGCAGTGATCAGCTCTCGGCCGTCAGCTCTTCATATGGAGTGGCCTCTTTGACCTTTTGACCGCTGTTTTGAGGGTGAGAGAGGGCTCAGTTCAGGGTCAGCTAAGGCCATCTGACTCTTTCTGCCACTGGCAGTGGTCATGATGAAAACTTGCTTTGCTGCCTCAGTTTAATCCAGTGCAGCGTTTTCAACTTTTCAACAAAGTGAGTTGAAGACACACATTGTTCTCCCTGAAAATGAAGCTGTGCTGGGTCCTGCAGTGGGAAGCCAAAGGTTACAAAGACTGACCCACATTTAATTTGCACCTAATTAAATAGGTACTCATTACTTCAACACTCATATGTTAGAGTGGCCACAAAGATTGCAGACACTTTTGGAAAAGAGTGTGCAGTTCCCGGCAGAGGGCGTGGTGAGGCGACTCGGGTTACTGAAGCACTCCGAGAATCTGAGGCGTGTGGTGAAAGCCCTCAGCAATACTGCACCCTTTGTGCCGTTCAGCAGGTGTAGCAGCTGACAGGAGAGCACCAGCTGCTGCCTTGCTGCTAAAGGGGAAACGTTCAGGCTGAAATTCTTTCTGGGAACAACAATGCCGAGAGAAGTCAAATATGGCTTCGCTTTGAGGAGGCAAACAGAAATCTGCCTTATTTGGTGCTCAAGTTTCTACACAGAGCTTTGACTCGGCTGAAACATTCATTAATCTGATTAGATCGTGTGCCGTAAAAATGACATGGCTGTGATCGATTACTGCGATCGTTCTGGGGATCTAGTTGTTCCCAGGTCAGATTGCAGTCTCTTCAGCTCAATTTCAAAATAAATGTCTTTTATTTTTTATATATTTGGGAAGATGAGCTGTCAGGCATGTTTTCTACTGTGCATTTCAAGTCTTCTTTTAAAAACCATGAAAGCTTTTCTTTGGTTTCATTGTTTTCATTGTTACTTGTATTACACATTACGTTTTAAAAGTAGTGGAGTATGTTACTGAATTACTCACAGAAAGCAGTTGTTACATTACTTTTGGATTACTCCATTGCATGACCTGGAATGCATAATCACTCCCACACTGACACAAATCCCTATCCTGGCACATGTGATCTTTCTTTTAGTGTTTTGTATGAACACAAAGACAACAACACAAAGCAACAGAAAACCAGCCAAAGTCACTTCAAAGCGATCGCCACAGTGATTCTACTTAAGAAGCATTTATAGGCAGAAGGTGGCTACAGTGGCACAAGCCGGCTCATCGCTGGCTTCGTTACCTGTTGAAGATCAGCCTGATAGGCTGAGATGATCATGCACTCTGCTGTAACCTATAATTTCCTTCGGGATTAATAAAGTATTTCTGATCCTGATTCTGAATATCCCTCTGAACTCTTTGCTGGCTTTTTGTTGACATGCAAAGACGCAGTGTTGTGTATGATGCAGTTGTTTCTGTCCTGGACGTAGTTTGCACTTTACCATTGTGCTCTTGTTCTTTCATATAATAAAAACTGGTTGAGTTCTCTGCTGTTGTCCTGCTCGCTGCACAAAAACAAGAGCAGCACAAGTCTGAAGGATGTTTTTGTCTGCCAGGCAAACAGATAGCTGAAAAACCATCGTAATGTAATGTGATTACTGAATTTAGTACAATAAAATATTACATTACTGTATTAAAGAAAAATGTACTGTGATTACAGTAACGGGTTATTTTGGAAAGCATTACACCCAACCATCAAGCCAAAGTCTGTCAACAAGCAGAGCTCGACACTCAAATGCCATCTTTAAGATCTCCAGGTAGTTTCTCGGGCTGTTACTTTAGTTATGATCAAAATTAACTTTATTTCAGCGGAAGTAGAAGATGTTTATTTTCTCCTTGTTACTATGTGGAGAGGTATATTCTGATTGTAAATTTGTTGTTTGGTTTGGGTTAGGACCGGAGATAAATGTTAATATTAGTTTGTTCCCTGATTTTTGGTGCCCACTTGTAATATAAGTTGGAATGTAAATAGGGGGCAGGGTTTAATAAGAATATTTCCTTCTTCCTGCTCCTTTTCACACATGGTTGTAGTGCTTTATTGATAGAAAGTGTGGTTGGTTTGTTTGATCTGTTGTACTAAGTGTGAAATAAATAAATAAATGAAATGAAATGAAAACTGCATGCATAGAGTGACTGATGAATGGAAAAAAAGGAAAATGCTTAAAAATGTTTCAGATTTTTGTTCTAAAAAGGGCTTAAAAACTTGTTTTCACACTCCTGGTAATGACTTTACAGTCCTTAAAGTATGCACAGTCTGCGGTCTGATTCCAGTAGGTTTCTTAGTCGCATATGACTCTCACAGTCTACAGACATGCCTTTAGGTTAGTCAGGGATCCTAAATTGACTAAATGTTGAGTGAGAATGTGATTGTTGTCTAGCCCTCTGTGTTAATCCTGAGGTGAACTGGCAACCTGTCCAGAGTGTATCCTCCCTCTAACCCAGTAATCTATCCAGCTCAACCCCCCCGGTGACCCTTAACTGGGCGAGCGATGAAGAAAATGTATGGCTAGAAAAAGAGCTGATGTTTTTTTGTATATGCTTGGCTTCCTAACGATGCAGACTACCCCTGCTGAGTTTACTGCTATTGCAAGTTGTGAAATATTTGAATAAAGAGAGAGATTTTGAGCTAGAACTACCTGTTTTATATTACGAATGAATACATTTTATATCATTTTATTAGGTCAGACAAAAAAAAAAGATCGGCTGGCAGGAGAGCAGCAGCACAGTCAGTTGAGAGAAAAACTAAAAGTGAGTTTTATGTTTTGGTATTTGAGTCATGTTGAGATAATGACAATTCTCCAGAAAAACAGACGATTCTCCAGAGCAGCAGAAGTATTTACCACCATACCCAGAGCCGGGTGAATGTCTTTACTTTAATGGGAGGACCTCAGCAGGGTCGGCTCAATGCCACATCGCACAGCCGCAACACGCTGAAACATATGACAGCTGTTTCTCAACAGATTTCATGTGTTGGTTTAGAGTGAGACTCCAGACTTGGTTAAAATCTAATTCAGAAAAAATGGTTGGTTTGTTTAAACCTCACTGAGCAGCATATTCTTTGTAGTTTTTAATATGTTAGTGAGGTTAACTGCCAACTATTGCTATCGGATGCAATATTTCACTGGAGAAATATGGTCATCTAAAGAGACTAATTCACTAGGAAAGCAACCGCAGAGAAGAGCTGACTATGAAGTCTGCTCCCTCACAGTAAGGGACAAGAAAAAAATACAAACTGTCTGCAAACATGCTGTTTGAAGAGACCTGGACTCACCAAATGTACATATTTTCCAATCATCCCAGCTGATAGAAAGTACCAGACTGACCTCGAAGCACTTCTGAGAAAGTGCTTTTTGAAAGCAAAGCTGGATTGGAGATGGAAGTTAATCCGTTCTGGTAAGAAAGTCTCCTTCCCACGTGTCCTCTGTGGTACGGTTGTGTATGGATGCATTACTAGAGCTGGTTGCCATCTTCCCTTTGCAAGATAGCAATTTTGGAGTTATATTTAATGAATTCCAACTAAAAAACTGCAAAGATGTATGAGATTAAAGCAAATGGAAAACATACTTCACTCGGGATGCTGTTAACTGCACAAAAACTTATTTATGTAGTATTTTATTAATAAAGCTTTATTAAAAAAAGAAAAGAAAAGACCCTAGCAAAAATGCTTTTGTGCCTAACTTGGACTCCTTCCAACAATGAAGGTTCAGAGGAGAGACATAGTCATACATAGTGGTCTTTGAATGACATCACATAAAGATAGATGCAGTCCTGAATAATGCATTTAGCAAGATTGTTTCCAAGGCTTTTTAAAACGGTGTGACATAAGTACGTTTCTTTATATAGAGCCTTTCAAAATAAAATCACAGGGTTCCTCACATAAAATAAAAACAGCAAAATAAGGAATAGACACTAAGTTAAATTTGCAAAGTTAAGAAGGTGGTGATGGAGGGTAGCACGAGATGAGTCAGATTTCTAAAACTTGCATCATATTTAATCAAAAATGATCTGCAGTTAGCAAAAGAAGATGTTTACATGGATTTTTTTTTTTAAATCCAAGGGGGTTTAGATGCCATTCTTTCCACCAATAGTTATGTGAAGGCCTTGTGAGGGGAGGTGGTCACATTGTGCGAGAGTTGTGTTGGGATGATATCATTAGATAAAGTTGCACAAATGTGGATTCGACTCAGATCTTTGGAACAAGTTAACCACAATAAAGATTTTGGGATTGGTCTCTCAGCTGGATGTCTGCTCATTCCAGCCTAAACTTCAAGTTGACTCACAACCACTTAGTGTCCAGTCCTGGTTTCAAATAGTCCATAGATATGCTACATTATGTTATGATGGCTCTCACCCTGCCCACAGCCCCTCCCATGTTGCACTGGTATGCAAACAGCTGACCAGCGATGACACTGCACATACAGGCCTCAGTGGACCTGCCATCCACGCGGACATTTAAACTTTAAAGGGCCAAAGTGGACAGCTGGGTGTGTTCATGCTGCGTGGGAGTGTGTGCTGTATAAGCATCCTCATTCACTCACACACCGAAAGACATAAGACACTCAAGGACTGTACCATCTGATCTCACACTTTATTGAACTTTGGATAACTTTAATTTTACCTGCCAAAGACTCAAGAACCTTTGAGGCTTAAAGGATAAACTATCATCTACAAGCTTTGAGTCGACCATCCCTTCAGCAGCCATGGGTGCATTTATTGCCAAGATGCTGCTCCCTACAGTCAGCAGCCTGGTGTTCCTGCCTACAGCCAGCGTGGCCGCCAAGAGGGGCTTCCACATGGAGGCCATGGTCTACTTTTTCACCATGTTCTTCACTGCGGTGAGAAACTGTTGCTGTTCTTTAATCTCAATGACCTGACAAGCAGTTAGCTGTGTTGAACTGTGAATAGGATGATGTGAGAGTGGTTAATAGACCTCCTGAATGCTGTATTCCTGCAGATCTACCATGCATGTGATGGGCCAGGTCTCTCCATCTTGTGTTTCATGAGATACGACATCCTGGAGTACTTCAGCGTTTACGGCACTGCACTCTCAATGTGGGTCACACTTATAGGTGAGTCCTGCTACACAGAAAGTGTTCTGGCTTGACTAGTTAATAGCAGTATTCAACATTTCGACATGTATCTCTATACAGCAAATATGTTTTTTTGGATTGATCTTTTTCACTACAGTCTATTTCGGTACCAGATTTTTAAAGGACACAAGCAAGCGATGAAAAACAAGCTCGGTTTGCAGCAGTTGGTGATAACACATGTTCAGGCTTTGCACACAAGTGCTCATGAAGACTTGCACACACAGACATAAATACATTTGCTTCTAACTCCCACCTGATCCCCCAGAGGTTTTGCAACAAGGGCTTTAAATCACATGCTGCTAAGAGCCAAATGCCCTGACAGCTGATTTAACTGATGGGGTCCTCCTGTGTCTGTGGGAAGGCTGCCAGTAAAATATTGATCCATTTTCATTTTGTCACCTTCATTTAATCAGGAAGGGAAATTCTTAAAATTAGAACTTCTTTTGCAAGATGGTCTTGAACCATGATAGGACGCATTCAGACTGTTTTCAATCTTGAAATTATTTATATAAAACCTTTAATGTTTAATAGTGCTGACAAACTGTGCTGTAGCTTTCCTTAGTTATTTTAAAATTGTGTACTTAACTGCATTTGCTGATGATTTCTTCTACTAATTTCAGAATTCTTAAAACCTTTTTTTCTTAGTTTAAGAAAATCAGGTCTGTTGTTAAATTCAAACAAAGTCTTTACAATGTTCCTGAAGAGTTTATGGACCTTATAGCTAATTTTAAGAAAGAATTTGTAATTTGCGGTCTCTATCAGAGTAAAAAAGTATGATAAAATGTAGCATGCTTCACAACAGGACTTCGTAAACCAAACTCTGTAGACAGTTGGTGGTAAAAACATTGCAGGAAATGTTCAGTTCAGCCTTTTTAGTCTTCTTTCCTTATACACTTCAATCTGAACATATTGTTCACACCTCACATCAGTGGTTTTATGAAATTTTGCAGTTCCTATCTATGTATTAGTGAAATTTTGGTCCTGAATTGATCAAATTTAGCCCAACAAGAGAATAAACTTCATCTGTAATCCCTACTTGGCAAACAGTGCAGCACCTCTGCAGTGTAATGATTTTATCCATGAGGGAAAGAGTTTGAAATCCTTCATCTGCTTGTCTCAGCTCTGGGTGACTTTGATGAACCCCAGCGCTCCACTATGACTATGTTTGGAGTGTTAACCATCGCTGTGAGGATCTACCAGGACCGCTGGGGCTACGGGATCTACTCCGGGCCAATCGGATCAGCTGTCTTCATCATTACTGTCAAATGGGTCAGTGGCAAAAAAAATGGCAACGTGTATTTCAAATATTTTTCAGTGTTTCTTCTACTCTATCTCCTCCTCTCCCTCTTTATTCATGATCTCCACCTTGAATAACTTCACCCTTGCTGTTATCTAATGTGCTCTTGTGTATTTCTTCTTCTTTTCGACTAATCCATCCATTCCTTGTACTCTTTCCTTTCTTTGCTATCCCCTGCACCTTTCTTCTTCGCCTTTTGCACTTTCTCTTTTTTCTTTTGTGTGAAGTCTGATGTGTGAATATGATTGTGATGAACTCCTGCTGTTGCAGCTGCAGAAGATGAAGCAGCTGAGGGCGGTTTATCCGGAGAAGACAGTGTACACGCAGCAGGTCGGTCCAGGCTGCTGCTTCGGTGCTCTCGCTCTAATGCTGCGCTTCTACTTTGAGGTGACTGCCGCCAAATCACAAACAGATATTTAATAAAAACATACAGAATATTAGAACATCTACTTAAAGAGTCTGAGGTTTTATCTTCTGTCACAACATTTTGTGTTGTTCATCGATATCCGGTTACATACTGAAAGAGTGTGATGTTTTCACTCCACAGGAGTGGGACTACGCCTATGTCCACAGCTTCTACCATCTGTCTCTGGCTGTTTCCTTCGTGCTGCTGCTGCCAAAGAAGAACCGCTATGCAGGGACGGGAGAGAACGCTGCTAAGCTCAGCTGCTTCACCCTCTGCTGCTGTGTACGTTCCATTTATATACACTATAGAAATCCTGTAGTAATGAGACTTTCAATTATTTCATCTTAAAGTAAAATGAGCTTGTTCCGGTCTATCTTATACTGGGGTGCAATACAAAGGCGTTTTATGAGATGTGTTTCTCTACAATGGTAGAGAATGTGGGTGTGGCTCAGGAGGTACAGCAGGTCATCCAGCAATCGGATGGTTGGTGGTTTGATTCCTGGATGCTCCTGTCTGCATGCCACAGTATCTTTGTGCAAAACACTGAACCTCAAGTTGCTCCTAATATGTTCACTGGAGTGTGAATGTGTATGACAGAAAGCTCCTACACTTAGAAAAAGTGCTTCTTATGATTGCCTGTTTGAATGAGTCTTGTAGTATAACGCTCTTTGAGTGCTCAAGCAGAGCAGAAAACTATATAAGAACAGTCTATTTACCATTTATTTTGGCGGTGGTGCCACTGACGGGTTTTTAGGTTTCTGGTTGACTTTGACAGACCTGTCTGAATAATGCTATAAACAGAGCACCAGGCCACAGATGCCAAAATACAACTTCAGTGTAAGCGAGCAGCTTACGAGAGTAGGCTGATTCTTTCAATGACTTTATGTTCATTCCCGTAAATAAGGTCTGTGGTTAACACGACATTTTTATTCTATGTTGTTGTACAAAATAGAAATACGGCCATAAATACGCCACTGCTTTTATATGTCCCCAAGAAGGTGTTTGCTGAGCAGCTAAATGCAGGCTGTTTATCACCCGTGATTAGCATTTTACCTCTTGGGACGGTTTTTACGCTTCAAAAAATCATGTATTAGAAAGTAGTGACAGAATGGGGAGAATATACTGACGAGCAAAACCTGTAAGTATATACTTTTTTTTCCAATGAGCTTATTTTCTGGGATAATCCAAAAGCCTATAGTCATGAGAGTATGAAAAAAGAGGGAAACTGGACTTCCTTTGCTTTGCAACTTCTTCAAACACCTACAGAAGTCAATTTGCCTTTTATTTTAAGGCTCTCAAAACGACCTCAATGAATGAGAATGTACACAGACAAGTGTATCAGAGTATGTGTTATTGTTTTTTGACAAGGGGGCCGATGTGCCACTACCTTCGAAATAAATGCCACCCGCAAAAGCCTTTATTGAACACCAGCAAGAAAGCTGTATGTGTTTGACAGCCTTGGAGGTGATAATTTCAGCTTTTTTAAGCTCATGTCCTTAATTTTGCTCTAATCCTGTTGCCTAATTATTCTTACTGCAGACCATGTCCCCCGGTTCTTCTAAAGAGAAGAAAGACAAGAAAGACAAACCGAAAAAGAAGTCATCTCGGACTGTGTGGACGGTCCCCACAGAAAAGCCGTGGGCACGAGGCTGTAGCACCCCCACCCTGCCTCTTTATAACCCCCCTCCATCCACACCTGTCAAAGGGACCAGTATCAGCAAGCTCAAAGAGATGAACGGCTGGAAGTGAACCCAAAAACATACCTACATGTCAGTGTGCGTAATTTCATGGAGAAGATCAGGCGTAGATAGAGGTCAACTGGAAAATCACCAAATAACTGACAGAATGCTGATAGACTCGTATATGGCTGGTAAGTTAATCTACTTCAGCAGGAAACCAACAATCATGTGGATGTTCCCTTCTACTCCAAGAAATCATTTTTGGCTGGTAGATTATTTAAGGTCAGCAGCGACTTTAGGAATCCACCAGCAGATAAAGAAAAAAAAAGTACAGAATTAGGTCTCTGGTGCCCTCAGAGACCCGATAAAAAACCCAGCTGTCTGAAGCTGAGGACAGGCAGCACGCTACTAAAGAACACACGCAGCACGAACAGGGAGACGGTGGCTGAGACAAGCCAGTAAAACTGACTGGAAAATTTATGAGAAGAACAAACAGGCAGATGGTTTATCTCTCCAAAATATATAAATTGTCTTTAGAAATGTTCCTCAGGGGAGACCCTTCGTCTGCTCGCCTCTGTCTGCCCTGTTCCCCTCCTCTTTTCTCTTTCCAGTCTCTCTCAAGGAAAGGAACCACGTGGCCTGTGAGAATTATAAGATTGTAAAGCACCTTTTAGCATTTTATGCATCTTTGAGGTGCCAAATATGTCATGTGGAGCATCAGTGACGCAAAGCAGAGGCCCAGACATCAGTCTGAAGTGCAATGTGTTTCTGGAGGTGCAGATGGACTCTGACTGGACAGCTTTGACTATATTTGAACATGTGTAATATACTGTTATTTATTATAATATGAAAAGTTCAATACTTCGTATGAAGAGTTTTTGTTTTATAATGTTTCTAAATGAAAATAAAAAGTCAGGACTCTGTAACTTGTCTTTATGAACCTGGTGGAACTTTAAGTCTCTTTCTCATAATGCAGTGATATGTACTTTACAGAAGCAAATCATTGACAAAGGCCCTGAATGGCACATACTTCAAGGATCTCTTCAGTCTAGCAGCACTAATCTAATTCCAGTCCCACATATCCCATTCTGCTTTCACTTCAGGAGTACAAGGAGCCATGCGTCCAAGCACGTCACCTGCCCCAAATACTACCCAAAGACTACAAACGTGCTCAGCGTATCTTAGACAAAACAGAGAATGTACCTCCCCTCCACCAGGGAATGTTTTGAGCTGGGGCCAAGCCGCCAGCTCCTGTGCCCAGAGAAAGGTGTTTTTGTCTGGACTCAGAAACCTGGCTGGCTGGGCCACCGGCACCTCCTGGCTGGCTGCACGTCCCGGCCCTGAGCGGAGAGTAACTTGAGCCTTTTATTGCACAAGCGTGAAGCACTTCTCGGCTCCTTTACAACCACTGTCTGTGCCACACTGCTCTGCAGAGAGCCCACACACATTCAAGACTGTATGACTACACTTGTGAATGCTTTACACTATTCACAATCCCTGATCCAGCTAACAAACTCTATACATTAAGTTACCACCTGAATTTTAATCTTTACAAGGCCTAACATTTACAGAATGCAAGTAAATCTGAGCTTTTTACAGACTCTCGGGTGATGTGGATCATACACACTCACATCGTCTGAACCTCAGTCCGCCAGCTCACGATCATGATCACAATCATCACTGTAAGCCTTGATTGACATTAGCGTGACCACACTCCACGGCAGAGTGGAATTTTAACGTCAGTTGGAATGTAATGACAAATGGAAATTAGCACTTTTAGGCCAGAAAGCACAACTTTTCCCAGAATTAAAAATGCTGACGAAAATAATAAGCATTATTAGTTTTTATTAGATCCAATTAAACACCAGAGTGGACGGCGTGAAGCGACTGTGACAGACTCTGGTATGTGTGGTATGTTTGTGATTTTAGCTATGCTGTACTTTCTGTGGTGTGACAGCAGCTTTTGTGCCACAGGTCCTTTCTCTGCGTCAGCTGTTGCCACAGCTGCTGTCAATGCCGCGAGGTCAGCTGCCTCGTAGAGACAACAACAGAGCTGCAGCCACAACAGATCTCCACTGCCGATCACCTGTGATACAATCAGATCTAATCCTTCTGTTGAAGTATGGCGTGGTTAGGCTAAATGGAAAATTAACCATCAAGATGTAACAAATAGTACTGTAAAAAAAAGTATTTGACTAGTGTGTAACTATGACTTCTTACAAACTGATGCATTCTCATAAATTTCTAATTAATTAATTAATTACATATAAGTGAGAGCCAGTGAATGCCACAGTGTTGCTTCTTGAATACATGGACACTGATGTTCCACCTAAGAGACCTCAGGTACACCAGAGGTATAGGAAAAGAGAACTGGTAGGCATATGTGTGCTGTGGAGGCAAATTTTGATTTGTGCCCTCACATTCAGACTCAAGATATGAAAGCTCATCCACATGTTCTATCACCTGAGAAGGGGTTCCCTTCACCAAGGAAGCAGAAAGGTGACGAAAAGCAGCAGGTACATAATTCCCACAACTACTTTCAAATTACTGGACAGCCTCGACAACTAGTCGTGTACATAATCACATGTCATGTAAGACAAAAAATTAGCAACGTCACCCCCATTATCTAAGACATCAGTATTATTGTTCTGCTTTTTAGAATAGCTTTCTGAACCAGCACAGACCACTCCATGTCCTCAGATAGCTGTCAGTCAACACATATGGCTCCCAAAGGGATTTTTGTGAGGAAATAATACCATATTAGATGTGCTGTGGCACATGTTTGGTCTTTGGATTAGAAAGGATCAGGTTTCAGACAGCGTGACTTCAAAGAGCAGGTGGTTTTACTGTATATGGCCAATAAATCAAGTTATTAATGCTCAATCAGAATGAGAAATAAGAGGAACTGAAACTAGTTTACTATTCATGTTAAGTCACATGATTCTGTGCAAATCTGTGGTTTGGCAGTGACATGTGGAACTAAACTCCTGACTGTGAACAGTGGCGCAGTTCAGCGTGGGTTCACTCACCAGTCGAGGAGACGCTCACCAGCACTACCCTTTCACCAAAGCACCTGTTTGTTGTCGCATTAAGCGATCACACTGTATGTCAGGCAACCAATATCATCGTAAATCACACCTGAATTAGTTAAACAAATTACATTTATAAATGCAGAACTGTTGCTGGATTTAGAGAAACAGAAGCCTACATTTTGTGTAATGCCAAATATAAAAGAAGATATTACCAGTCCAACATCATGTGAAAATGCCATACTAGGATATTATGCCTCTGCTGCCACCTATTGCACCTACCTGCTACAGTACATGATCATTAAAGGACAATACCACTGTGCTTTAGATACATGTTGTTACCTTTGATTTAGAGTTTAAGTAACTGTTGTTGTATGATGCAATTTAAGACTATAAATCATTAGCAATATGTTTTCCATTGTCTGTCTCGTGAACATAATATTGAAGAAGGGCTTTAAACTAGTTTCTTGTCTTTCTCACAAAAATCTTCCTGGACTTACGAATGAACCGATTAGATTTTAGTAGTCAAAAATTAATGTCGGAGGCCACTTTGACCTAAACAAACACATTTCAGTCAGGTCCTCCTTTTTATCTGTAAGAATTTATTTTTGCCTGTATGCACTCCAGTTAAGCACAGAACAGAGCACATACCAGTGACAACACAAGTGACATTTATTAAGAGAGAAACAGCACAGCTGTAGGCAGACTAAGTTTAAACAGCACACCCATATCTGACTATATGACAGCTGTACTTTCAGCTATAAGCAGACCAATCACTCACTCTGGGCTAGAATTCACTTCAGCTGATCTTGCAGTTTGACTTTGTGGCCTCCCAAAACTAACCCCATTTTTGGTCATAACCCAATAACTTTTGCACTAAATATGAGAAAATTTCAAAATTTCTGTTTGTTGAACATTAATAACTTGACTGTGACATTTAATTATCAAAAGGTCTGGGACCAATTTTACAGTAACATCACATTTTGCAAAATCATTTTTGCCACTCACTTGGAAGTAGAACAGGTCATCTACTAATTATTTTATAAAGATCCCTGGCTTCTCCAGTAAATTTGTCTTAGTGCCCTTGAGCAAGATACTGAAACCTAATTTAGACCTAAATGCATCCATTAGAGTGTAACTGTGGGCTTGATAGATACAAACTCCATAAAGGCATACAACAAAATGCTGTATGAACCACACTGAGTGCACAATTAGAGTATAACAATGTTAAGTACCAGTCCATGTAAAATTAAAAGGGGGAAACCACGTTACATTTCTGGTCAGATACTAAGCTGTGCAACATTAATCTTTAGAGCCTATCTCCAAACCGTAAATACTGTATAGAAGACCTGTGTAGAAACAGCATCTATAATTTAGAAATCATAGTTGTATTTGTAGCAGCAGCTATATGTATTAAACTTTAGGTTCATGTAAAGGTTTTATTCACAAAAAATAAACATGCCTAGTATCCTTTATGTTCTTCTCAACAGGCATGAAACTGCAGTTTTCTAATTTTTATTCAGCATCTTCATATGAAGGGTTTGTTGTGATGTATCCAGGTAAAAAAAATCCTAGAAAAGTGATCCTGTTCATCTGAATGCAGTATTTGCAGTGAGATAAACACTGACCCCTGCTGACCAACAAAAAGAATGTCGTCTCTGAGACCAAAGAAGTCATTTCAATGAGTGATGAAATGTTTCTCCTACTAATAAACGCTACATCTAGATGAACAGAAATACTTTTTCCTTAAGGCACATGAATTGTTGTACTTTTCTTGATTATAAGGAACACAGTTATACACAATTTTGTGCAGGGATGAACTGATACGTTGTTTGATATCAGCCTTGTTGACTGACATGACATTTACCTTTTCTGTGTCTCATAGATTTTGATAAAGCAGAAGGAACGACTAAAAGAAAAAGTACAAATACAAAAATATGCACTAGCTATCAGTGAAACTGGGATTTTAAACTCTGATATCAATCTACAGCCGATGTATCTGGAAGCACGTTTTCATCGGGCACTGTTAAAAATGATTCTCTCGATCATCAAACTCCTGTGTAATTCTAAATAACAGGAAAACACAGAGTTACAGCTGATGATGGTTGTTCCACTCTCTGTATTCCTGCTGTCATTTCTCAGATGTGGAACCCAAACAGGCCAACTCTGCAGCACTGCATCCTCTCATGTTTACAGACGCACTGATGGATGGTAGGTGGTGTGTAGTGAGACACGTCCCAGTGTGGTTTAGCGATGCAGTGTCAGGAATGAACGGCTGACCTGCTGCACAATAACACAGAACAGCTGTGAAGTCACTGCAAAAAAGATCAAAACTGATTTGTAGCTGAAAATTACTTAAATTATCTGAGTAGAATTTTTAAAGAACTGAACTTCTAAAATAAATGAAGTCCTGCTCGGTACCTGGAGGAGGCTCCTCACAGTTATCTGCATCTCCTCTTTGTTCACACACAGCTCCAGCTCCTTGCCTTCTTTACTTGGCTCTTTTGATTGGCTCGCTGTGCTCTCATTAGTGAGAGTCATGTTGCAGAGCTTCTCACTCAGTCTAAGAACAAAATTCAACACAAGACAACGAAAGACTGACTTTGTCAGCTACCTCAATGTCAGGTATCATCCAGCCTTCAAATTAACCTCCATGTTTCTGACCTTTGTGGATCAGAGGAGGAGCTACAGCTCTGCATGGTTTCCATCAGCTGAGCTCTGATCGCTTGTCCTTTTGGGCTGGACAATACATCAGAGACCCTGCAGCCAGGGAACAGACTCATAAGCATAGCAGCCACCTACACAAACAGACACACACAATTAACACAAGATTTTAAAATATTAAAATGAAATGCATCAGTAAAGTTTTACTGATAAAACTTTTGAAATTGTTTTCAGTAAATGTTTATCCCACAAGAGGTTTTAAAGTTTCTTATTAATTGATTAGAAATTAACAGATGACCAGCCATTAACTTCCTTATTTTAGCTGTTAATTGGCTCCTTTAGTGTTGGGCTGGGATGACTGTTCACATTAAAACAACTTCCATTCAGGGTTATTTGAGTGTCATGTCTTCTCCTTATCTAAGGGCTCTGTCAGACATTGTGTTAATCTTATTGAATGAAATCTTTTGAAATGAAATGTGGCTTTACTGAAAACCACAAAAGATTAAAGAATTTGAGACCTCCTCGTGGGTGGGGTCCAGAATCAGCATGCAGATGAAGTCCTGCCTGGCCCCGCTCAGGTTCAGCAGCTTTCGAAAAGCCTTCGATCTGCTTTCGTAGTAATGGCTAGAGGCGGGGTTGTGCTGGATGGCCAGAGAAAACATATCGACTGCCTCCTGGAAACGCCTGCAGATCCAGACACACACATTCAACAGTATATCAGCTAAGTGACATTTGATAACTTGACTTTATAAGTTTCTCTGTGTGGGTGTTAATGGGATGTTCTCCGTGTGGTTCTGACCCATCCTGGAAACACAAAGATCCCAGCGTGTTGTAAATGACAGCGAGGCGGAGGCGGACAGCAGGGTCTTTTGGCTGCATCATCTCCTCAGCCTGCCGGTAGTCAGCCAGAGCATAGTGCCAATAACTCTGCTTAAAGAAACAGTCTGACATACACATATAAGCATCAAAATGGTTCCTCAGTTAAGCATTTAGTGTCAATATTTCATTAACTTTACACACATTAACTCTGGTTTTAATTTTCATAATAGCTGCTTTGATGATGTAAAGACAGGTGAAAAACAAAACCCTAACACGATGAACGCCACTCTTCCTACAGATATTCCCATATTTGGTGTTTGATTGATGCTGAGAGAGTTGGGTCTCACATGTTGGTCCACAATCTCCCCACAGGCACTCAGCTGGGTAATTGTAGAGGCCAAGCAAATGATTCACATCATCTTCAAACCATTCAGTCTAATCCAGAAGGATCAAAATGTTTCATCATATGATGACAGGAAACTATTTTTGTGTTGTTTTTCAGTGATGATTCTCTCTGAGGGAACACGTGTGGCCAAAACATATCAACAAAGTCCCCAACTCCAGCGCCTGGCATTATTGAACTGGCTTCATTTTCCAGTGCTGCTCGCCTCAGCCTCATTCCCCCTCCTCTCTGTGCCACCCCATTTAACAAAAATCCTCCAAATGCCCCTGGATATAACAATGAGAGGGAAAATGAAAGACAGGGTAGTGGGAGTGGGATGATGTTTAGCAAAGGGCTTGGGAATGAACTGAAATCCAAGAAGGATTCATGTGTAACTTATGCTCCCGTGGTTGTGTTAGCTTATGGAGGGATTTCCCTTTAGAAAGCCTACAGAGAGACGGAGAGGGGTTTTGAACAACTGCAAACGTGCTCCCATGCAGTCCTCCAAAATCCCAACTGCATGTTGCTCGACATGAATGACAGTGTGCATCAATCAAACGCTGATTAGCTGACAGTGGGCCAGAATAGGGAGAGGAGTCTCAGTGGAGATCACCAGGAATGGGAAAAGTATGAAACAACAAAAAAAAAGAAAAAACATCACTGTTTTTAACATTTCACATCACCTTTTTGCATGTGATATGTCTGTTCTTCTCTGACACTGGTTAATGGACCAACAACAGCGTAAGCATAACTGGCCCACAGACCGGTTGTACAACATATTTTTTATACAGCCCGCATCTGACAGCAGATGCTCTCTGCAGTCTGAAGCTGCATATGTATTGCCAACAGACTCAACGCACTACTGTCGCTGAACCATTCATTTCCAATCACCCTGGTGTTACATAGTAAGATGTGAGATACAGGGGCTATCCAAATACATGGCTATTAAATTGTGTTTTATCCCCATCCATTCCTGATGGAGAGTGTAGAGTGGTGAAACTCTAAAAACAGTGCATGATCTTCAGTTGGAGCAGCTCTTCAGTCTTGCTGCCTAAAAATCTGGTTTGTCAAGTTTCCCCTGTCACATTAGATGTTTTGCCTCTTTTACTGTGCAGGAAGTCACATGCTTCAACTCAAACACTTAGAAGGACACTCAGTGTAAGATCCTCTTTGACTAAATACCCTGATTCACAGTGCTGATGATCCATGACAAAAGCTCGTCAAGTTTAAGGTGTACTTTTGGCTTTAAAGCCTCACGTTCTGGCTGTCGCATTACTCAAACTTCCAAAGTGCTGAATATGAATGTGCGCTTGCACAGAAAGTAGAAATTTCCACACATTAATTCTCAAAAATGTCATAACAGGTTTTGAGATCATGCAAAGTTGTTGTCCAGGCAATCACTCGGAAGGGGACATCAAACATACTTTGCACACAACATTCGACATTAGTTTTCTTACATTCAACTCAAATCAATAATGTTTAGAGCAAGCAGCAATCTCTGGGGCTGAGTGCCAAAGCCAATGCTGAAGGGCCAAAAGCTGCAGTTCCTCCAATGGCCACTTGAGGCTGACTCCAAGAGTGAGTCAACTGCCATAAACTCCTATGTAAAATGGACAGTATCACAGCAGAAATAACAGAGTTTCCCCTTTCATAAGAACTGTACATGGGATGTATATAATAAATATATAATGCATTTAAAAAAAGAGAGCACAAACATGAGCATTTCAGTAGGTAATGAATATTAATTATTAAAATCATGCTATGAGATTGCAGTTATGTGTATATGTTAAAAAACTGGTGTCTATCAGACAGTCAAAGAAAAGTTGTTGATGTGAATCAACAACAACAAGGAACAAGGAAATCAACAGAAAAAGAAAACAAAAAGCAGGAAATAATTTATCTAAGTTTTACATTTCCATCAGAGATCTGATTAAAGGTTGAGGTGAGTCAAAGAAGATGTTCAGTATTTTGGGGGGTGCTCGATCTAAGAACATTTGGGGTTTCATTGCATGGGTGAAAAGAGCAGAGGACTCACACACAGACAGGTCAGGTGTCACAGCCTCACCTCCTCGGTTCACGTACAGGCCTGCCTGGCCCTTCTCTTCCTCAATGGCTTTGTTGAGAAGCAGAGTCGCCTCTGCGTAGAGACCTTTGCAAAAGCACTGAACGGCAAAATCATTGTAGATGAGAGCCAGCTGAAACTGCGCCTCCTCCTGCACAGAGCAACTCTCAGCCTTATCATCTCTGACCTCCACCTTCTGACTCCTGATTTCCTGCTGTCCCTCCTTCTCCTCTTCTCCACTCAGCTCCACAGCCTGGATTATATCCTCAATGGCTGGTATGAAGTTCTTCATCCGTCTATACAGAGTCCCTCTGCAAATGCAAGGGAATAGCATTCAGCTGAATTAAATACATGTCAGCAAGTCAACATTCCACTGTGTAACAGTCCCAAAACAGATTTTGTTAAGGTCTACACATTGGCTGGAAACACCTGAACAGGTAGAGGCCTCCGTCCTCTGGGCTGTTGGCTAGAGCGATATTAATCATGCAAAGGGCTTCAGGCAACTCTCCACACAAAGCTTTGTCCACAGCCCTTTGTCTCGCCTGTTCACTCGCTTCCCGCAGCTGGAGTTGCAGAGCTCCAGCCACCGGACAGGTCGGGTTCAACGCCAACGCCAACTGCACGTCATGATAACAAACTGATGTCTGGATAGAAGAAGAAAGTTTCTGCTGGTTTAATCATAAATGTTAAACAGTAGACAAAGTATACTTAGAACACTATATTGACTTGAAGTGATGAGATCTTCAGAAGTAAAAAAAAACCAGACTAAATGACATTGTTGAGAATTAAAGCACATTTCATCTCGAGAAAGTTTGCAGGTTATATCTGATATGAAACTTAAACACTTAAAGATTGAGGAAATAGGAAATAGCAGAAACTGCAAATCTGGCCAAATCTGGCTGTTTTATTGCAGCAGTCATTATGATAGCAACATTAGTGTATACTGTTTGTAGACACTAATCTACAACATCACTTAGCATTTACACAAACATTTCATATGACTTTTTTCCGCTTGGCTGAACACTAACTGAGACCACATGATATCTTTGTGGTTACAATGTGATGACAGACAAGATCTTACATGAGAGGCATCCATGGATCCACAACCTCAGCACTTTGTTCTCTTATTGCTGATTTATTCTTGCCAAAATCAGTTTGTGGAAGCCTCAGTTCCCAATTTCAACTGTTTTTTACAGCCTATGTTTTGTAATGCTGCATGTTCTGTCCTGCTCTGTAGCTATAGTTAGTACATTGGGCCATTACACAGAGATCAGTCAAAGAATCTTGGTATTAAAATATCGTGAACATGAATGCAAAACGCAAAATGTTGCGATTTTTACATAGGTTATACAGAGAGGTGTAAGAGATGTGACCTTGTTAAGCTCTTTGTGCAGTCGGGCTCTGAGGATGTATAGGTCAGAGGTGGGACCTTCTGATGCCATCCAGTCATTTACCAGCTTCAGACAGTCAGTGTGGCGACCTAAAGCTGTCAGACAGGCCAAGCTGGGATGCAAAGTATATGTATGTTTGTTAATTTCACATTTGAACTCTTGGGGACTTGTTATTAATCTTTTACCTTCTGTACACGAATAACAAATGCTCAAATCAATTATAAGGGAACTATAAGGTAACTTAGACACTAAACATATATTGTACTTCAGTCTAGATGTTATGGCTCAGGCTCCTGACCTTCTGACCTTGTGAGCTCTGCAACCCGGTTTCACCTCAGCAGCTTTGCTGAAAGCCTCCAGTGCATCTACAAAAAAACCTTGGTCGAACAAACACTGACCCTGGGACAACAAGAGGCAGAGGGATCTATGTTAGGATAGTTCTCTAATGCCCACTTAAATTAAGATAGGATTCTTATTTCAACTGTAGTAATTAATGTTTGGTTGCTCTGCTCTGCAGCAGTATACATCCCCGCCTTTCCATGGAGGCTAAAGGCAAGGAAAACCGCTACAAAAACCCTTCTCATAGAACAGAACAGGCATTAATGACAACAAATATAACCTTGATTATTTCATAAACAGAAGGAAACAGAGAACCTGGATGGTAGGTGGGTTGCAAGGAGGCATACATTGGCAGCAGTAGGTAAATTAGTGCATGCTATATGAGATTTGCAACTTGGGTGTGTAGTTTGGCACTAAGATCAGCTGATCTGCCAGGCCTGTGGCTGAGTTTGACTCAGCCACTAGAACTAAGTATAAGCTCAGTTCTATGTAGAATAAACTTAGATTCCAAGGAGATATATGATATAATGAACGTATATTTGAGAGAAACACTGTCAAACAATATGCAATATTTTTCATGTCAACAACTTTAAATCAAACAGAAAATAACATGTTTTTTTCTTTTCAATTATTTTTTACTTAAGAGGTGCTCACAGCTAGAGTCGTGTCCTGAGATGACCCGAATAAAAATCCTCAAATAGAAAAAAAACTTTCTGAAACTGAGTGTTCAGACCTTGTATCCAGCATTGTAGCAGTATATTCATGACAGAAAATAAGAAACGACATGACAAGTCTTCATCATTGGACCCTGCGAATACTTCTACCTGCAGATAGTAAATGAAGGCCAAACGATCCTCGAAGGCTCCAGGCTCCAAGAGCCAGGCCTGTTTGTAACAGGCTGCTGCTGACTGGAAGTCACACAGCTGTAGGTAGGCCTCTGCCTGGCTCACATATAGCTGAACCTAGAACATGTAATATCACAGGATATAACAATATAGAGAGGATAAGACGCAGGCCAGAAAAGAGATGCATACATAATATCCAGAAAGCATAACTAACGGTTATGTTAAAAAAAAAGCCTCATCTGATCTATTTTACAGGAAAATCAGCAACATCTTGTGTGACCACTGTGGAAGGTGACCTGTTGTGGCTGCAGAGTGATGGCTTTGGAGAAGCAGATGACAGCCCTCTCATACTGAGACTTCCCCATTGCCTCTTCCCCATTTATATAACTGCAATAACAAAAACAAAAACAAATATTACTTAACAATGAAAATACTTAAAATTCAATAAACTGTCTATATATAAGTGGAAGGTAATCAGACACAATTTGGTTTTAAAGGAAGTGGAAGGGAGCTAAAACAACTTATTCCACACAGAGGATGAACTTAGATGAAGCACAAAGGCCCAATATAACATAAATAATGACTATAATAAGAAGTATAACACCATTTTAAATGTACTGCTGTACGTATTCAAGACACATAGGTATCAGTCACTGTTGATTCTCACTGCTCAGCGGCCTTGCTCTGAATGATGAGGCTGCCCTGCAGGTCTGGTCTTTGACAGGATTTTTCTGTGTGAAGAAATATTTTACTGGAGCCAAACAGCCGTTTTAGGCTGTTTTTTCTTTTGGCCTCAACCAGCTCCTCTTCTGATACAGCAGTGGGGAAAAAACTCTGCTCTGCATCCTGGAGGTGGACAATCAAAAGATTTCAGTTCACTTTTTCTGAGGTGGCACACTGTTTTATCTCGACAACATCACATAACAGTTTATTAGTGAGGCTATTATTAAGGTAGTGGAAAACATTTATTGTGTGCTGTTATGCATTTAAAATTTTTAAATTACAAGTCTTACTCCAACCTAAAAACACTTTGCGTCACTTTCAATGTTCACTCAGTAGCCGTAACGTTATTTAACCTGGGTTTGTGCTAGTTAACTAGCTCAGGCATCATAAATGAAACAAACATATTTTATACACAACCAACAGGCTGGGCCTGTCTACATTTTCACTGTTGCTTTTCAGTCACTTTTTACCGTTTGGTCATCTGTCTCCTCAGATGTGTCCATTGCGTCACTGAAATTGCTGTTTCGAGCTGTTTTACACTTACGCAGTCACTTTTACGACCTTTATTTTTTGCTTTGCTTGTATAAAGTTGTTGCCTAATGTTGAAAATCCGAGGGTCGCCATGGAAACCAACTTCAACACTCCTAGAAGCTCTTATTTTGGAAACAAATCGTAAGCGAGAGATCGCTTCCTTCCTGTTTTTTCGCCATGTTAAAATGCAAAATAAATAACATTAACGTCTTTTAATAAGCTGTAGCTATAAAGTAAAATTAAAACACATGCAAAAATTAATGAACTGTGTAACGCTACGTATCTGCTAGCTTAAAGGAATGAGCTTTAACTAATTCTGAAGGAATGACCGCGATTAACCAGAATATCTGCCCGTCTTCGTAAAACGTTAAAAATTAAAGTGAGTTTAATTTTTAGAGTAAAGGTGTCTGTTACTCTATCTTTGCTTTAATAAAGATAGGAGACTGCAGTCTGTTTTGGGCGATAGACCTCATACTAGGAGTTTTACTGTGAAACTACTTACACGCAGGGAAACAGGAAATAAGAGGAACACAGGACGATCAGCTGACTTCAATGTTGACAAAGCAAGTTAACCGCCGGTGAGAAGCAAATGTTCTCGGTAATGGTCACATTGTTTTTTCCAGCTGAATTGTCCGATATTTTCTTCACGGATATCTCAGATGGTCTAACTTCTTCTTTTTTCTGATTCCGTCCTGGTGGTTTTTCGCTTTCTTCGACTGCTTTTCTAGCTTTTGTTCGGGGATTTTTAAATTACTTTCTGACATGTGATCATTGTCAAAGGTGAACAGAGGTAAAAACCAGGAAAGATTGCTACTACTGCTGTCGGTATGGACATCCAAGATGAGAGGAGAAGGCTGCTGGATGCCGAGGGTGGAGATCCAACAGGACTCATGTCTGAACAAGATGCTTATCTGAGGTCAGTGTAGCTCTACCACAGCAGATCATTTCAGAGGGTTTACGTATCATCTAAATATACAGAGTTATCTAGACCATGCAGATTATGTTTCCGACTTGTAGTTTTTACTCTCCCCTTGCTGTTTTAGGGAAACCAGTTTAATTACGGATATTATTGCTTTGTTTAGTTTTAACGGTGTAGCATAATTTATTGGTGGGTGTGTGTGTGTGTGTGTGTGTGTGTGTGTGTGTGTGTGTGTGTGTGTGTGTGTGTGTGTGTGTGTGTGTGTGTGTGTGTGTGTGTACTAAATTTAAAGATTATGGCATACTGAACAAGCAGTTGATCTTTGCTTAGCTTCTTTTTGCTTGCTTATTTGGAACCTGAAAGGGCCACAGAGGAGAATCTGGAGTTTGCTTGATAACAACTGTTTTATGTTGACCTAGACCAAAGTCAATGGCTACTAGAAGAATTACACAGATGAGTGACAAATTAAAGGAAAACACTGAGCCCTTCACCTCTGCATTGGGGGGATGTGGTATGCTGTCATGGATGGGTTTTTCAATACAATACAATATTCTTCTGAGTGATCGCCTTTATCCTACAGTGACACATTTCTGTCCTGCACGGAGAAGTTTGATGAGGATGAAAATGATGTAAACCATGTTGCTATGAACAAATATAGGGATTTTAGACTCGCATACATCATCAGCAGAGAGAGTGACTGAATATCTTTTGGAAAAACGTCACTACAATGAAGTAAAGCGAGTACATCAGCATTCTGAGAACTAGATTTTAGCATGTGATTTGATGCAGAGTTTCCTGCTTCAGAAAGCTTATACTGATCTACACTGCAGTAACAGTTGTAGGAGGGCCCCTTCCTGTCCCAACAGTACTGCCCACCATGGCTCAAAGAAAGGTCCATGAAGACATGGATGAGCAAGTTTGGTGTGGAAGAACTTGACTGGCCTGACCTCAACACCTTTAGTTTGAATTATAGTGATGATTGCAAAACCGGCTTTCGTATCCAACAGTCCAAGGGTGACTTGAACATATGGTCATGTGGTACACCACATACTGGTGTTGTAGCTGTAAAGTGGGGGGTGGGGGCAAAAAAGCTTTTATTTTTATATTCTTAAGTTTTAATAACATTAATGTAATTACATTTTTTATATATTAATGTAAATCTGCAAAATAATGTTACAAACCCTGACACAATTATCATTTAGTACACCCAATGCTCCCTTTAAACTCACTGGAGCTTACAGACAATCTCATGTCCTATTAAAGCTGCTTTATTCTTCCTGCATTCAGTCTAAAGCTGCAAAGTACTGTGCAGCACCGTGATCCTAGCTCTGCTTTTTCATTCTTAGTCCGAGTTAATCACAGTCATATCTGCTAGTTTTTGTAATACTTGCTCTATTCTGTACTGGATTCCTATTGTTGCTGGTGCTCTCCCAGTTTAAATACAAATCAGTATTCTCTTGATTACAGTGTTCCTGACTGAACAGCCGTTAGAAATGATGCATGTCACCCATGCCATGATATTATAGGCTTAAAAGAAGAAGCAGAAATTATTCTCTCTTTTGTCCCTGAAGCATATTAATGAGGCTGAGCTTCTTTCTATCATATGTGAGACCTGACCTTTACCTCCTACACTCATCTGTGTTCCTCTTTCTCTCCACAGCAAAGTGAAGAATCGAAAGTTGTACCTTGCGACACTTGCCTCTGTTCTGGGTCCCATGAGCTTCGGGTTCGTGCTGGGATACAGCTCTCCCGCCATCCCCGAACTCACCAAGATTGAGGACTCTCGGCTGAGACTGGACGATAACCAGGCTTCCTGGTTTGGGGTATGATGACAGCCAGGCAATTTTAACAGCAGATTTGTGTGACATCTCATTTCATCCAACACATCCTGTAAAAAAGACACACAAGAAAGAGCCGGATGAAATTAAAATGTGTTCACTGTATGTTTAAAATTAATCATTTTAGCACATTTTAAGAGCTTCAATAATCATGGTCATAACAGTTTATGACATAAAACGGTGGAAGAGTCACTGAAGGAACAACTTAATATACTGATCAGCCACAACACTGAAGCCATGTGCCTAGTGGTTTGTAGGTTCCCTTCTTGGTAACCCAGTGGTAACATTTTGGCCGCCTCCATGTTTGTGTTTTGTTTTGGGTTTTTTTGGGGGGGGGGGGGGTTGAGCCAGAAGTGACCACACTTGGACGAGAGGCTGCATTGTTTAGTCTAATTGTTTAAAATAATAGAAGCTGGCATCCATAACAGTCACAACTCTAATGCTAAGCCTTAGGACAATCACACCGTTGAGTAGCTATAAAAGAAGTCACCTCCTGTATAGTAGCTGATAAATGGGGAAACTAGCCATAGAGACCCCAAAAGGTTGATTCTTTTCATCCGGACGTAGCAATTTCAATGGGAGAATCTTTTCATCACTCCTTCAGTCTCAGCTGACTGCAGGTTTCCCCAACCTGCAGTCAGCTTTGTGTGTATACGTGTTAAAGGTAACATCTTCATGAATGGCAGTACCTAAGGTTTGCCTCCAGTATACTGTAATCTTCTTCTTCTTTTCACTGCTTCCTTTATGGGTTGCCACAGTAGTTCATCTGCCTCCATCTCACCCTATCACATCCTCTTCTGTCACATCAACCGTCTGCATGTTCTCCTTTACTATGTTCATGAATCTTCCTTATTTTTCTCCTGCCTGGGAGCCTAATCCTCAACATCATTTGCTCAGTTTATCTACTATCCCTCCTCTGCAAATGCCCAAATTATCGTAGCGTTGCCTCTTGAACTTTGTCTCCAAAACACTTAACCTGAGGTTTCCCACTGATGCACTCATTTCAAGTCCCGTCCACTGTAATGAGAGGATCTGTGTAATTTTTGCCCTTTTAATGTTGGGTATAAAGAGTATATGCACCCTTTAAAGCCAAGCTGTCTGTTTTAAAATACGTTGAAAGTATTTCACTTAAACATATGGTCATGTGTTACATGGCATACTGGTGTAAAGTTGGTCTATATACTGCAAGCGCCGGAGCTTTGGCCTTTTTCAAAATAGGCACTAATGCAAAATAGAAAATATAGTCCAGATGTTAACTCAACAGAAATAGTTAAACCCTGTTTAATTATTCTTTTAAAATAATAAAATTGATCAAATGCAACATAAAGTTCAAATAATTCATTAACGTTTATTGCTGACGATCTGTTCTGTGTTTCAGTCCATAGTGACGGTGGGAGCAGCGTTGGGCGGGCTGATTGGTGGCTGGATGGTGGAGAAGATTGGCAGGAAGGTCAGTCTGATGTTATGCGCGCTGCCATTTGTCTCCGGCTTCACCATCATCATCGCGGCGCAGAACGTGTGGATGTTTTACGTTGGCAGAATTCTGACAGGCCTCGCCAGCGGCATCACCTCGCTGGTTGTCCCGGTATGTCATTTAAAAGCAGATTAAAGGCCTCTTTAATATTTGACCCGGCATCTGTTGATGTGAAGATTAGACAGTTTGATTCCAGAAGAAAAAAATCCATCTCCAAAAAACTTGGTTGTTAGACAGTAAATTGAAATGTCAGGCAGAAAAAACAAGGTATGCTTTCATTTTGTGGGATTAAGAAGTAGCTGCACAGTATCACTTGAACACTGATTAAAAATTAGAGAGTATAATCTGACACATGGCCTTAAATGGTGTGAAAGCCAGACACCGAATGACCTGATGGGCGGCACCTACACTCAGTGAGATAAATAAGGATTGTTTTGAACAGTGAATCATGCAAAGCCATTGTAGAATAAAAATATGGAGCTAGAAATGAACAGAATAAGACCACCTTTGCTTCAATAACATAAATGATTGTTAGTGTGGATCAGTCCATTCAAACGCCAAACATTTGTTGGCTTTGGCTTCTCAAATGTGAATCATAAATGTGCTCTTAACTTTATATAAACAAAATTATATGTGTTTGCTTTATAAACCATTAAGAGAACAGTTCTGTATACTAAAGGTTTGAATTTTTGATGTTCTCCCTTGTCTCCCCTCAAACAGGTGTATATTTCTGAGATGGCACATGAAAAGGTCCGTGGGACTTTAGGCTCCTGTGTGCAGCTCATGGTGGTGATAGGCATCATGGGAGCTTATCTTGGAGGTATGAAACTGATGTTTAAAGTTTTTATGGCATCTTTAAA